AAAAAAAAACTATAAATCAATTTATTTTTCATAAATTTCTTTTAAAATATTAATTCTTCATAAAATATTAACAGTTGTCAAGGTTATCCATAGAGATATCCGTAAGAATGGCAAGCAAACATAACTTGCGCGTTTACTAGAAATCTACGGCTATCAATATTATTATTATTTCTGTTTTCAAAATATTATTGTTGTTGCATAGAACAGAATAATTTTTATCATGAGCGGATTTGAATCACTTTCAAAACCATTAAAACCTCGATCCGAAGTTGTCATACATACACTTCATCCAACACTTGAACAAAAACCACGTGCTAAATATAGTGTACCAGATTGGTTCAATCATAAGTTAGATTTTCGAGTGTTTTATTTCCTTTTTTTTTTTGAATCTTTTTCTTCTCATTCTTTAGTTATGCTATTTCATATGATGCAGAACGTAGTCGAAATGTATCGCATCAAGTACGACAAGATGGTCGGAGATTGACTAATGAAACATATAATGAATCATGGTGGAATAAACATGATAAGTAAGTTGACTAATTAAGATAAATTCGAAAATGATGGATGAGCAAAGTTAAAACATGTGTATCGCAGGATAATGAATATTTCTACAACTGATTTTTTATATGTTATATGTATGTGTTAAGTTACGTATAGGTACTCTAAAAAACTTAACGCTGGAGACCTTGATTTATAGGAGTTATCAGTAAAAAACCAATGTTAGACTGTCCATTGACTTTTACTTCATATATTTTAGTTTAAAAAAAACTTCGAATTGAAATAGCATTTTTAAAAACTTAACAATAAATTCTGTAGAACATTCCTAAGACTACAAAATCTCTATCTAAAGTTTTTTTCTAAACATGCCAAGATTTTTCAAAAAAATCGGTTTACTTTTCGTTAGCAACATGATAGAATATGAATATACATACAAAAAGACAACGCTCTTAAATTCGAATGAGAAGTTCAAAATCAATTCTAAACGGTACAATTTCCTCTTTCAGAATATCTAGATGATGGTAAAATAAAAATTTTTGCTTCGAGCCTTGATAAGATCTCTAAAAAATCGGATTTTTAAGAGGAAGGTATTTTGGAATTCAATCTTGCTGAAAATTTCACCATAGATGGTGTTCGTGCAATAGAGTCTATTGTGAAGTTTTTGAATTGTTTTCTCATATATTTAGAGAGGTATTCGTTAATTGATTTTCAATTTATAGTCATCTGGAAAAGCCAACATTTTTACATATGTCTATGCTAAAAGAATTTATTTAGCAAAATAATCTTTGTATTAATCGTAGATTTCAAACAAAAAATTACGTTCATTTTACTTTTCAAATTCTATCGAAAGTTCAACTAATCAATGTAACATGAAGACATCTATTAATCTTGAAAAATAATTGCAAGAAAGTTTATTCTTTCAAATATATTATCTAAAAAAAAATAGTTTTTGTTGAGAAAATACGACATTACATCTAGAATAAGGAAACAGATATGTCTAAAACGTTTAGCATACTAGCCCAACGAAGCCCTCTGAAAGAATATTATT